AAGTTTACTATTTGGAAGTGCTGAAAAGGCTGCTTGAAAAAGTTAGATGAAAAAGACCTGAACTTTTCTCCAACAATTCATGGCTCTTGCATCATGACAATGCACCAGCTCACACGGCACTGTCTGTGAGGGAGTTTTTAGCCAGTAAACAAATAACTGTATTGGAACACCCTCCCTATTCATCTGATCTGGGCCCCAGTGACTTCATTTTTTACCCGAAGATAAAGGAAATATCGAAAGGAAGACATTTTGATGACATTCAGGACATCAAGGGTAATATGACGAGAGCTCTGACGGCCATTCCAGAAAAAGAGCTCCAAAATTGCTTTGAAGGGTGGACTAGGTGCTGGCATAGGTGCATAGCTTTCAAGGGGAGTACTTTGAAGGTGACTGTAGTGGTATTCAGCAATGGGGTATGTAGCACTTTTTCTAGGATGAGTTCGTGAACTTAACTGTCAGACCTCGTGCAGTAGGATGTTCGTACACAAGAGCTCCTTAACAAAGCCTTGGCCAAGATAGGGTTACAGGCCAGGACCTCTTGAAATACTCTGATAATTAATGCAGCCTGCCCTGTCAGAAGTCAGCTAATAAAATTATTTATCACGGAAACAACGACATCATCACAACAATGAGGTCATCTCCACTGTCTTGGCAATAATAGCTCCATTATAGAGCACTCTGACTCCGGGTTTGTCCCTCCCATTCCCCTGCACCCACTGCCCTAGAGTGACTTTTCTAATAGGCATGATAATGTAACTTAGGGTTTTAGTAACTTCCCATTCCAAAGTGGCATTCCGTTTATGTACTTTTGACTTATACCCTTTCCCAGTTTCCCACTGAAAGAGTCAAACCGAATAGGAAAAATTCTTCTGTATCACTGGAAGTTAGGAAGGGTCTCGCCTGCACGCCTGAGACTATACAGTCATTCAAGAAATCATTCAGATTAGAGCAGAGTATGGACATGGAGACTGCTAGTGACACCCATTCCCACACACCTTAGTCCCACTGGTATCTCTTGACTTAGAGTGGGGCCAAGAAATGATACCCTAGTGGTCTGCGAGAGATGTGAACTCCAATAGGCTTGGAACCCACGCCCAGGAACCTGAGTCTGTGGGGAATGGGGATCTTGCATAATGCCCATGACGGCAGTGAGGTCTGGAAGAAGGTGAGAGGGTAGCTTCTCAAAGGTAGTTAATTGGGGAGGAGGACTGTTTTAGTGACAAATTACACCGAAACTTAGTGGCTTAAAACAAAAATTGACATTTAAAATCTCACATACTAGTTTCTGTGGGTCAAGAATCTGGGAAGAGCTTTGCTAACTGGCTTTGGCCCAGGGTCTCTCACGAGGTACAGTCATGATGTCACTGGGGCTGCATCATCTGAAAGCGTTGATGGGGCCGGAGGGTCTCCTCCCAAGATGGCTCTCTCACATGGCTGCTGGAGTGCCTGGGTGGCGGGATGGCTGGCTTCCCTCAGGTGATTGATCCAAGCCAGAGCAAGGCAGAGGTGCAATGCCTTTGTGACCTAGCCTCGGAAGTCACTTGTTGTCATTTCAGCCTCATCCTATTAGTTACACAGATCAACACTGTTCAGTGTGAGAAGGGACCACATGGGACCATGGAGACCAGTTAAAGAATGATCATTAGGGGCTGTCTTGGAGACTGGCTACCACAGGAATGCTGTCTCAAGCATGCTTGGGTTACCAAGACAGGGGAAAAGGAGAGGTCCCCCTACTCCAAACAAAACATTATATAAAATTTAGATACATTGTTCAGCTTGAAAAAAAGGAAGGGGCACCTTCAGGGCCAGGAGAAAGAGGTACATTCTTGCAGCAAGCGAGCCTTGAAGGCCTGCAGCTAACAATGGTCCCTTAGAGGCTTGGGTTTACACCTGACCTCATGCTGCGCTGGGAGGTATTCATTCCTGGCTTTGGGCAACAACATAGTGCACAGTGGCCTTGACCTATAGGATATTATACTAGTCTACCACATGGATAACATCAGGCTGACAGGAACAGCTTGGATTCCCCCCCATCAGAAAAAGTTACATGTCTTTTAATGTTCCTATTAATTGGCTTGTTCCTATTAACCATGCCAAGATTGTCCTCCTTCCTGTGGTAGGTCCGCCACTCAGTCACCCTAGCCAGTCTCAGGATAGGACCCTGGAAAGCTTGAGGAATCTCCAGAAGTACCCATTTTTCTCCAGCTACTGTTGCTGCCGGAGCTCCACTGTGTGGCCAGGAGACCAGCTGGAGTGTCCTTGGGAAGCTGGGGCTCTGCCCCCATCGCTCTGGTTTCTACCACTTCTGCTGCCATCAGTGGCTCTGGGAGGAGGGAGAGCAGTGGGAGTGTCCAGGACGTGGCTCACCTTGGCCATCTCCTTGAAGAAAGAAGCAGCTCTTCCCCATTAGAGCCTCTAGAGCAGCGGTTCTCAACCTTCCTAATGCCGCGACCCCTTAATACAGTTTTTCATGTTGTGGTGACCCCCAACCATCAAATTATTTTCGTTGCTACTCTATAACTGTAATTTTGCTACTGTTATAAATCGTAATGTAAATATCTTTTTGTTTTCCAATGGTCTTAGGCGACCCCTATTAAAGGGTCGTTCGACCCCCAAAGGGGTCGCGACCCACAGGTTGAGAACCGCTGCTCTAGAGGCTCTCTGATGCTGGCCTGGACCACACTGGTGGCTTTGAACTTGAAAGACTTCCTTTCCTTCATTCCAAAACGCACCTGAATTTTGTATCCCAGAAGAGGGACATCCTGTGGGAAGATGGGAGGAAACAAATCTGGCTACATTTTCTTCTGCAGATAAGTCTTTGCAGTTAGTAACAGGGGTGACAACCTCCATCCAAAAATCCTTTCTTGGAGGGCACCTTGTGCTAGGGACACCCCACACTTCTAGCCTGGGCCTCTAAGGCTGAGATTTCCACGTACAAGATTACCTACCCTTCGCAGAGCCTGGAGCACGGAGAGGGCATTTTCTCGTTGCCTTGTCTGGCAACTGCTGCCTGTTCTCTGGGCATTCTTTATATGGGTAATATCTTTATTTCCCATGGGTGAGTCCTCTGGGTTACCCAAGTCATCAGATACGTCCAAGACATCCCAGTTCTCAGCTTGACCTTCTGCATATCACCCAGAGTGAAAGCCAAAGTCCTCAGCATGGTCTACAAGGCTTTTCCTGATTCCCTCCTACTCCTGAGCTTCTCCTCTCCCCTTGCTCGCTCTGCCCCAGCCGCTGGGGCCTTTGTTCCCCATACTTCCACCTCAGGGCCTTTGCACTTGCTGTTCCCTCTGCAAGGAATGTGGTGGCTGACCAAGGATGGGTGGTGGAGTCTTCTGCCCATGATGTGGGCAATAAGGGATGTGTCTGCAGAGAATTTAAAAACAATGACACCAAGTAAAAGTTGGTCTGCATTTTACTATCATCACCATGGCACTGGCCATTCTGCACAATCATACTGATAAAATACTACCCCCTGAAAAAAATCTTCTATTCATTTAAGTTCTCAACAATTGCTATGGTTACTGATGAGTTTTAATGACACATATGCAGGTTTTGATTATTTACCCTGCAATAAACCTAAACGTGTCCTACTTGGAAGTTAATTGAGAAAACTCCCAGTTATACTGTTACAACACAGCCCCCACCCCTCCTTAAACACAAGCTGACAAGCATTCATTTCAAGAGTGAGATTGTAACAGTTCAGAATGGTTCGAGCTTTGTTCAAGTCTCTAACCCCTGTGATAGTACGTCCTGGGGTTTAAACAGAAGGTTTGAAATAAACAATCATAGTCTAATGACTTTAAAGACAAAGAAACAGAACTTGAGTTACTTTAATTCTGTCATTCTACATGTGACCACATTTATTTCTAACATGTAAAACAAAGAGAGAAAGAGTGCAAACTGTGAGATGTGATACTCTTGTTTGGTTTTAGTTCGCATATGAAGTGTGTATTGAATATGATTAATATCTTTAAATTGATACTTGTTTTTAAATTGTTAACTTTTGTTTTAAAACTAAAAAAAATCCCAAGAAATTAAAATATTACATTGGTGGTATGATTTAATAGTTTCCATAAACCTTTAACAGATGTTTAATTAATTAATTTTATTTTCAAATTGTGGTAAAATACGTACAACATAAAATTTACCGTTTTAACCATTTTTAAGTGTATGGTTCAGTGGCATTAAGTACATTCACACTGTTGTGCAGCCATCACCACCGTCCATCCACAGAAAACTTTTTTCATCTTGCAAAACTGAAACTCTGTTCTCATTAAACACTAACTGCCCATTTCCCCTCCCCCAGCCCCTGGGAACCCTTGTTCTACATTCATTCTCTGTGAATTTCACTCTTCTAAGTGGAATCATGCAACAAAATTTTTGGTTTTCCTCAAATTTACTTACTAGTTAATTTACTAACTAATAATAACTGTACAATTATTTACATACAATATTATTAAATTAGACTATGAGAAAAACAGCCCCTGACATCTGGGAGGTGTCCTGGCACTAACAGTCCTTGGTGTTCTCCCGTTGAACATGACCAATTTCACAGAACATCAACCTCAGACAAAGTCACTGGGTGACTATGATGGAACAAGAATATAAGTCCCTACTCAATAATCAGGTCTGACCACAGACAAAAACATGAGCATTGTCCAAACCTCCCCGAGTGACCAAACATCCTCCCATCCGGGCTCATATGAGTGACTGCTGCTTCTTTACCAATCACAACTTTAGCCTTCATTCGTTCCTCCTTCCTTACAGGTCAGATTTATTAAGATACCCAATCATAGATTACCCCTGCTTCTTGGCAGCCTCCAATCCAGAGCAAAGCCCCATTTCCTTGAACCATCCCCCAAACACCTAACATGAGCCCTAATCCCATAACAAATGCTTTCCAACACTCTCTTACTGAGTTGCCGCCTGGTGCTCCTTCGAGGTATGTTCTCCCTTGCTGCAATGAGAGATAAACCCCAGTTATTCACTTGCAGGTGAGGTTCTGGTGGCCTTTGGTTGGAGGACGTTGACAGAAAAGGAGATTCACCAAGATTCAGTGAAAGCCCTCACCACCTCGGAGCAGGACTCTTGCATCACTAACAGCGTGTGCATTTGAGACCCTGTGTCTCTACCTGCTTGAGGTATGCCCATGTCCAAGGCGGGAGGCAAGTTTATGCTGAACTGAGCGCTGATATTTTGTTGAAACCCTTCAGCATTGAGTTTATTTTGTTTTACTAGGAATAAAGCCTCGTGGGACTGTTTTGGTTATCAGATTTGATTTGTACCATTCCTTGGTAAAATGGCTTTCTAGCCTTCTTACACTTATTGTATGGTCTATCTGCCGGTCTAGTGTCTTGAGTGTTATTGTATATAAGATAAAAATTGTTTTTTTCAGGCCGGCTGAATAGCTCAGTTGATTAAGAGCGCGAGCTCTGAGCAACAGAGTCACGGGTTCGATTCCCACATGGGCCAGTGAGCTGCGCCCAAGCTGAGCTGGCCGCTGAGCTGCCAACCGGTGGCAGGATGGCTCAGCTGGTGAGAGCACGTGCTCCTAACAACAAGGTTGCCAGTTCAACTCCCGCATGGAAGGTGGGCTACACCCACCTGCAACTAAGATTGAACATGACACCTTGAGCTGAGTGGCCGCAAGCTGCCGGTGGGAGTCCGGATGGTAACTAGACTTGGAGCTGAGCTAGCTGCGCCCTCCACAACTAAGATTGAAGGACAACAACTTGGCTGTTCCCCTTCCGGAATTTCCCAACACCGTTTCCCTTCCCCAATTCCCCAATAAAAATATAAAAATAAAAATAAATTTGTTGTTGTTTTTGTTTTTTGTTGGTGTTTTTATTATTATTTTCTCCTTTTTTGTTTTTGAACATTCTTTTTTAATTGAGATATAATGACATAATATTATATTGTTTTTAGGTGTACAACATGATTTTATACACACACACACACACACACACACACACTGTATTTTGCTGTGTATAATGTGCTCCCGTGTATAATGCACATCCACGTTTTTGGCCCAAACTTTCAGGGAAAAAAGTCTTCCATTTTAATTTTTTAGTACTACCCTTGTATAATGTGCATCCTTATTTTTCACTCACAAATTTGGGCAAAAAAGTGTGCATTATACATGGCAAAATACAGTATAATCTGATCTCAAAATTATCATCACAATAAGCCTAGGTAACATCCATTACCACACACAGTTACAACTTTTTTTCTTGTGATGAGAACTTTTAAGATCTACTCTCTTAGCAACTTTCAAACGTACAGTGCAGTATTGCTAACTATGGTCATGATGATGTACATTCCATCCCCAGGATTACTTATTTTATAACTGGAAGTTTGTACCTTTGACCCCCTTCAGCCATTTTGCCCACCCCCATACCCCCAACTCTGGCAACCACAAACCTGTTCTCTGTATTTTTTTTTATTCCACATATAAGTGAGAGCATATCATATTTGTCTTTCTCCATCTGGCTTAATTCACTTACATAATGCCTTCTGGGTCCACCCATATTGTTGCAAGTGGCAGGATTTCCTTCTTTTTTAAGTAATATTCCTGAATGTGTGTGTGTGTATCACAATTTCTTTATTCATCCATCTATGGACATTTAGGTTGATTCTATGTCTTGGCTATTGTAAATAATGCTGCAATGAACATGAGGGTGCATATGTCTTTTCAAATTAGTTATTTCCTTTTCTTCAGATAAATACCCAAAAATGGGATTGCTGGATCATATGGTAGTTCTATTTTTAGTTTTTTGAGGAAACTCCATACTGTTTTCCATAGTGACAGTACCAATTTACATTCCCACCAACAGTGCACAGGGGTTCCCTTTTCTCCACATCCTCGCCAACACTTATTTCTTGAAGATGAAAATTCTATAGGGAGAGATGGGCATAAATGTGATAAGTCTGTTCTACAGGTGACCCAAGTGTCCTTTGGACATGCTTCATCTTAGGTCACTGTTTCAAATCCTTGTAAAGATTTCTTCCTTGATCTTGTCCTTGTGTCCCTGAGAACTATTTTGTGTAGTTTAATCTGCCCAGAGTTAGGAGGTTGTGTCTGGCCCTGGTGGTGATGAGTGATTGGCTTTTGGCCAAGCTCCAGGGAAATAATATCACAAATTTACCATCCTACTGGACCATTCAGCTCCATGGGCTCTTTTAAAACTGTGCCTCTTCCAGGTCGAACACTTACCTGCAGCATGTTCTCTCAGTATAACGTCTCCAACGTGTACATTTAGTTCTCTAATTGGTACAATTTCATCTGTGACAATTTGGAATCGCAAAGACCACCTTGGGGAGCTTCTCATATTAAAACGATTGTTCGTTTAAGAGATACCTTAGAACAAAAAGCAAAGCAACCCTCATGAAGAGATGTTCTTATTTACTGATTAATTTTGTGGTTTCTTCTGTTTTCCGATACCCAAACTTTTTTCTCTCCCCTTGCAAAGGAAACGTGTGTAGGCTTTTACAACGACAATTTCATGTTGGTCTAAAGCCAGGTGCTTCTCACTTTTTTTTCTCTCGCTCCCTTATTCACTCTCTTGGGAAATTTTAAAGACTAACCATTTTTTTAAACCCCCAAACATTTGGTTATGGTCACACTCCAGGAAGATTTAATCCAAATAACCAGTAAAAGATGTCTAAAACAAAGAAAGAAAAAGTTACTCAACTGTGTTTCTTTATGTGTGTGTGGTCACTCAAAAATAAATAGCCTTTGTTACAAAATAAGAAAAAGCCTTAATCCCAAGATAAAAGAGCTTTTGGCATGATTGAGAGTCATTAAAAAGTAGTTTACCACATAAAAATAATATCAGCACAATGTTTGGGTTTGTACAAGACTAGGGGTAAATTTCTCATGATTTAAACTTTCCAAATTTCCTGATTGATTTTATTAATTAAGTTACCACTGTTTCCATAACTTGTTATGGTCATAGTTTCATTTAACTACATGAAATTATAATAATGGATGTTGTTTTTATTGTGGTAAAGTATACATAACATAAAATTTGCCATTTTAACCAATTAAATTTTCAATTACAGTTGACATTCGCTATTACTTTATAGTCAATAATATAATAATTATGTATAGTGCCAGGTGGGGGGATCGCTTCATTAATTATATAGCTGTCTAGCCACTGTGCCGTACACCTGAAATTAATATAATATTGAATGACATTTTGATCATTTTTAAATGTATAGTTCAGTGGCATTAAGTGCATTCACATTGTTGTACAACTAATACCACCATCCATTTCTACAACTTTTCATCATCCCATACTGAAACTCTGGACTCATTAAACAATAACTCCCCATTCTCCCCTTCCACCAGCCCCTGGTAACTATTGTGCTACCTTCTGTTTCTAGGTACCTCTTATAAGTGGAATCATGCAATGTCTGTCCTTTTGTGTCTGGCTTATTTCATTTAGCACAATGTCCTCAAGGTTTACTCATGTTGTAGAGTATGTCAGAATTTCCTTATTTTTAATGCTAAATAATATCCGATTGTATGTGTACTCCACATTTTGTTTATCCATTCATCTGTTTATGATGGACATTTGGGTTCCTTTCACCTTTAGCTATTGTGAATAATGACGCTATGAACATTGGTGTACAAATATCTGAGTCCCTGCTTTCATTTCTTTTGTGTATATACCCAGAAGAAGAATTACTGGGTCATATGGGAATTCTATATTTAACTTTTTTAAGAACTGCCATACTATTTTCCAGAGCAGCTGCACCATTTACATTCCCACCAGCAATGCACAAGGGTTCCAATTTTCCACATCCTTACCAACATTGGTTCTTTTCTGTTTTGTTTTTTTAACACAAGCCATTCTAATGGGTGTGATGTGATATCTCATTGTGGTTTTAATTTGCATTTCCCTGATGATTAGTGATGTTGAGCATCTTTCTATATGTATTGGCCATTTGTATGTCTTCTGTGGAGAAATGTATATTCAAGGTCTTTACTGATTGTTAAACTAGGTTGTTTTTTGTTGTTATGTTGTAGGAGTTCTTTTTTATATTTTAGATATTAATCTATTATCATATATGTATATGATTTTTAAAATATTTTCTCCCATTCTGTGATTTGCCTTCTCACTCTGTTTATTATGTTTTTCTATGCACAGATGTTTTTAATTTTCAACAGTCCCATTTATTTTTTTCTTTTGGTGTCATATCCAAGAAATCTTTGTCAAATCCAGTCATGAAGTTTTTCCCCTATGATTTCTTCTAAGAGTTTTATAGTTTTAACTCTTATGTTGGGGTCTTTGAACCATTTTTAAAAATTAATTTCTTTAATTTACATTATTAAAATTTTATTGAATTAACTTTTAATTGTGGTAAAGACATAAAGTTTACCCCCTTAATTTTCAAGTATACCATTCAGTAATGTTAAGTATATTCACATTGTTGTGCAACTGATGTTTAGAACTTTTCATCTTACAAAACTGAAACTCTGTACCCACTGAACAATTCCCCATTTCCCCCTGTCCCAGTCCCTGGCTACAACCATTCTCCTTTCTGTGTCTATGAATTTGACTACTTTTAGATACTTTATATAAATGGCATCACATAGTATTTGTCTTTTGTGACCTGGCTTACTTCACTTAACACAATGTCCTCAAGGTTTATCCATGTTATAGCATGTGACATGATTTCCTTCCTTTTTAAGGTTGAATAACATTCCATTGTACATACGTACCACATTTTATTAATCCATTCATTCCTCAACGGATACTTGGTTTGCTTCCATCTCTTGGCTATGGTGAATAATGCTGCTATGAACATGGGTATGCGAATATCTTTTTGAGATTCTGCTTTCAATATTTTTTTGATATATGCCTAGCAGTAGGATTGCCAGATCACATGATAATTCTAATTTTAGTTTTTGAGGAACTACCATACTATTTTCCATAGTGTTGTACCATTTTACATTCCCACCAACAATGCACAGGGGTTCCAATTTCTCCACATCCTGGCCAGCACTTGTTTTCTGTTTTTTGATGGTGGCCATTCTAAAGATGTGAGGTGATATCTCATTGGGGTTTTTTTCCCTTTTAAATACACTTTATTTTTAGAAACGTTATAGGTTCACAGCAAAATTGAGCAGAAAGTGCAGAGAGTTGCTACAAACCCTCTGCCCTCATAGATGCACAGCCTCATCCACTTTTAACGTCTCACACCAAAGTGGTACATTTGTTAAAGTCGATGAACCTACATTGACATATCATTATCACCCAGAGTCCATAGTTTACATTAAGGCTCACTGTTAGTGTTTTATGTTCTATGGGTTTTGACAAATGTGTAATGACATGTAGCCATCATTATAGTATCATACAGAGTAATTTCACTGCCCTAAATATCTTCTGTGCTCTGCCTATTCATCCCTCCCTTCTTCCTCCCTC